ATACAGATAGATAGATAGATAGATAGATAGATAGATAGATAGATAGATAGATAGATAGATAGATAGATAGATAGATAGATAGATAGATAGATAGATAGATAGATAGATAGATAGATAGATAGATAGATAGATAGATAGATAGATAGATTAAAACAGCACCTTTTATATTGGTAAGTTATTTTGATGGAATGGCTGATGTCCGATATTTAACTTTATCACTGATATCGTCCGATACGATACCATGCCGATAATATTGTGCATCCCTAATTAGAATCCATCCATCCATCCATCCAACCATCCATCCATTTTCTTTACCTGCTTCTTCATTTCTGGGCTGTGGATGTCTCTGATGCCCATATTTTGAATACATGTGCACTAAATTTTAAAGATAACCAAAGCTGGACCAAGTTTCAAGTTCAAGATCCAGTTCATCCTCAGTTCTAAATGATTTCCACAAGACAAGAATCTTGTCCTAATTAGTAAAACAACCCAACAGAGTCAAATGCAAAACAGAAAAATAATTTCTACTGCTATTTGTTGTTATTAATAATAATGGAACCAGACATGTTTGTATGAAAAACAAGTGCATCACCTCTGTATCGAATGCAACTGTAATTAACTGCATCTTCTTTGTGTTCAGAGTTGTTTTAGAGATAGAGGAGCCTGCTGCAAACCACAATGGAGGCCAGCTGCTGTTTGGTCAAGATGGTTATTTGTACATCTTCACAGGAGACGGTGGAAAAGCTGGAGATCCTTTTGGGAAGTATGGCAATGCACAAAACAAGTAAGAAACTTTGGGTTTATTTGAGCCTGACCAAATGATTAAATGTTCTTAATATTCTTTTTCTATTGCCTGACGCCAAAAAAGACAGACTATCATGTTACTGTCTGCGAGTTTATTAGTATGTCATCAAAATAAGTGGCACACTCTGAGATTGCACTAAAGGGACCATCCAGCCTGTGTTCAGTGCACAGTTCAAAAGCCTGCCTCTGTGACAATATGTGGGGGGAATCAGTGTCTCTGGCATGGGCAGCTTACATATCAGAAAAGACACTATCGATGCAGAAAAGTATCTACAAGTTTTAGAAGAACATATGTTCTTATTCAGATTACATATTTTTCCGGAAAGGCCTTGTATATTTCAAAAGACAATAAAACCTCATATCCATTACAACTAGTAGACGAGTCCTCATTGCTGAGAACATGTGACACATCATGAAACCAAAAAATGAATATTGATAACTGTTCTACTCAGATTGCACCAAAATGTATTTATTTGTTTGTTGGTTAACCAGGAGTGCTCTTTTGGGAAAAGTTCTCCGCATAGACGTGGATGGGAGTGACTCCAGAGGGAAACCGTACAGAATCCCCACTGACAATCCGTTTCTTGGAGACCCAGACGCACGGCCAGAGGTCTTTGCATACGGGGTCCGAAACATGTGGCGATGCTCCGTAGACCGTGGAGACCCGGTGAGCCGCTATGGCAGGGGTCGGATATTCTGTGGAGACGTTGGTCAAAACCGATATGAAGAAATTGACATTATTTTGAATGGAGGAAACTATGGGTGGAGAGCGAAGGAGGGCTTTGAGTGCTACGACATCAAACTGTGCCAAAATTCCTCTCTGAGTGAGTTTTTTCTTCATTTGGTTCTCCCTCTGATTAAAATCAAGGTCTATTTTCTGATACTTTACCACCTGTTGTTTCTGGCAGTAGAAACATGTTCTCCGTCCACTTGAGATTTTGGTTAAATCCAGTGTGTTTCTTTCTTCCAAAACAGATGACGTCCTCCCCATATTTGCATATAGCCATCATGTTGGGAAGTCTGTCACAGGGGGATATGTGTACAGAGGATGTGAATCACCCAATCTGAACGGCCTGTACATTTTTGGAGACTTTATGAGTGGGTAAGATTGTAATATTATGTGCCAAATAAGAATAAAATGTGCTTTTTCCAGCTTTTCATCTTTCAAGACAAAAATAAAATTGTCTTGCTTGTTTGTACTTGTGTTTGTTTGTCTGTTGTGTTAAATATATATAACTGTTCTCCATTTTCGACATAAATAAATCAGTCGACTGATGGCGTTAGAGGAAGATAAAACAGCAGGAAGCTGGACAGAGAGGAGTGTTTGCATGGGTGACACAACGACCTGCTCCTTTCCTGGACTCATCAATCATCACCACAAGTTCATCATCTCTTTCGCTGAAGATGAAGCAGGTAGTGTTTGTTCTGTTCCTTGAGATGTTCAGCACTGAACTGTGCTGAGATTAGTAGCGCTGACTAGCTTTGTGTTTTCCAGGGGAGCTGTATTTTCTGGCCACTTCATACCCGAGTGCCATGTCACCTTCTGGGACAGTGTTTAAGTTCATGGACCCTTCCAGGTGTAGTATCTGTGCTATTCCTTTAATAGTGTGAACGCTTATGAAGCATTCACACTATTGTGATCCATTTTCCAGCATCTTTCTTGTTCCACAATTTTTGTGCTATTTCAGCAAATCATATATCAAAACGTTCAGCTCGTTCAGGAGAAGGAAGCTTTGACTTTTACAACTTTACCTTTTTGAAATATTTAGCCTATTCTGCCGGGGGGGGTCTCAGAAAATGAGCTGAGTTCATTTTACATCCTTCAAATCTTTAAATGTGTTTACATCCTTTTGCTGCTCCTTTCCCATTTTGTTCTGGTTCCGTTTCTTTCAGCTTCCTTGTGCAAATTTAAAAAAAAAAATTCAGCTACTTTCAGCTGTTTTTTTCATCTGTTTTGTGCTTCTTTCAGATTATTTCTGGTAACTACAAGTTTTTTGTGCTTCTTCTAATTTCTTTCTGCTAATTTCAGCTTGTTATGCTCTTTTCAGCGTATTTATGCAAGTTTCAGCTTTTATGCTATTTTAGCTACTATTAGCTACTATTTTTAAGCTACTGTTTTTACTTATTTTAGCTTTTTCAGCTAATTCCACATCTTTTGCAGTCATTTCAACTTTTTCAGCCTAAGTCAGCAAAAATGTGCTCTCTCCATTCCTTCTGCTAATTTAAGCTTTTTTGTGCTTTTTTTAGCTACTTTTTAGCTTTTTTTTTCTCCCTAATTTCAGCTTTATTCAGATAATTTCCACTTTCTTGTGCTCATTTCTGCTTCTTTCAACCTAATTAGATAAACATGTTTTTTTTCCTTCTACTAATTTAGCTTGTTCTACCTTTTCAGCTAGTTGTTCGCATTTTTAGCCAATTTCATCGGTTTTCAGATAAATTCAAGTTTTTCTTGGTAATTTCTGCTACTTTCAACCTAATTAACTTATTTCTGCTAACTTCAGTTTGTTATGCTCCTTTCAGCTTATTTCTGCTATTTCAGCTACTATTTAGCTGTTTTTGTGCTAAAGTTAGCCTATTCAGCTAATTCCACATTGTTTGAGCTTATTTCAGCTCCTTCCACTTCCGTGTGGTAATTTAAGCTTTTTTTTTTACCTTTTCATCTACTTTTCAGCTATTTTTCTTTTTGCTAATTTCAACTTTTTGAGCGAATTTTCCAATTTTGTGGTACTTTCTGCTTATTTAAATCTAATTCAGCAAATATGTGTTCTTTCTGCTTTCTTCTGCTAATTTAGGCATTTCAACTATATTTCAGCATGTTTTCAGCTAACCTAAACTGTTTTTCAGCAAGTTCTTAAGCAAAAAGCATTCACACTGCATTTTCACAGGAAATACAATTTCTCTAATTGTTTGATTTCTGTCCTTAACATTTTTGTATTTATTGTCTCTCATCCTAGCAAGGAAAAAGCAGGTAAAGATTATGGATGGATGGATATATTTATAACCCACTGCTAAAGGAAAATAGACAGTACAGTAATGTCCTTTGCCCTGTGTGTTTGTGGGGTTAAGAGAATATTTGATAATCCACTATACAAATTTTAACATGCCTCTCAGAATGCAATCGTTGTAGGTCCATCAGCTCATTAATAGTTGGAGTCAACCCCATTAAAGATGGCCACCACAACGAAGAGAACTTAGAAAGCACAACAAAGACTTTAACTCAGTGAGTTTATACAGATATGTTTAAATTTGGTGTGGTAGTAGCTGATAGTCATTCCTAACTTATATTCCATTAGCTAACTGGTTGTTGGGGTCAACTGTCAGTCTGTTAGCAAAATATCTTGTGAAGCACTGGATGATTTTGATGTGAACCCCGGAGAGTAATTATTAGCTGTATGTCTGCAAATGATCGAACAAAACTAATTTTACAGATATTGAGTAACATTTTTTGGTTTCTGTAGTAGAGTCCCAACTTATACTCACAGCACCAGCACATCCTGTGAGGTTTCACATGAGCTTGTGCACAATGTAATTTATAAGGTTTGAATAAATCAGCTGTAATGTCAATCTTTCTCATCACAAGATAATTTAAGTTTAAAACTCTGGCATGAAAATATTAGCATCCCTCAAAGGAAGGCATGTGAAATGCCTTCCTTTGAGAGATGCTAGCACTTTACTCATATATTTTCCAATATTTTTTAATTCAATCTGTATTATAAATCATAATGGCAGAGATTGGGGTTATGAGTTATTTTATAGCATCACTCTGAACCATTCATAATAAATCAAGTGGATTCACTCAACTGAAATCCCATAAAGTAATGCTGCAGAAAGATTTCTCCTGAAAATTGTAGTTTGACTTGATAACATCATGTAATGTTTCTTCTGCTTGAGTAACTAATCAATCAAACGGATGTTGCTTTGTACCCCAAAGCACACCTCGGAGTTGTACAGCATGTTAAACAGCTACAGTCACCTGCTCAGAGTAATTACTCATAAGGACAGCTTCTGTGCACAGAAAAGGAGGTTTTTCCTCGAAAGTCCTCTGTAATTCTGTTTGACTCTTTCACAGAAAAGTCCCAACTTGAAATCATCAAAACACAAATGGGACTTTTTCATTTTGCTTTCATGCAACCAACAATTTACAGATGCGTGTAATCAAATTATCAATGTGGAACTGGATGCTTTTAATATTAATGCATTTGTAGTCTTCAGACTTTAATAAAATGAAGACATCTATGTAGAGCGGGCTTGTAATTGTAATGGCCCCTAAGCAGAATTTGCTTTGGAGGCCTGCTTTCAGTTAGGTCCATCACCCACGTGCCTCTTCCCACTAACAGCTCTTCATCTCCCTCCTTTGTGCATTTAACACAACTAGTTTTATTACAATGAGCCAACAATAAATTCCCTGAAATAGACCATAGACCATCTTGTGTTTTCCTTGACAATCACCTCACATTCTTCTTATACAGGAAATAAATAGCACTTGGAATAATGTATTTATTTGGAACTTTTTTTTTTACCTTTTCCCAAACGAACTGTACCAATTACTTTTAGAGCAGCAGAAATTAATGCAATTGTCACATTATTGTTCTGGTAACATGAATATGAGATATCAAACCATGTAAAAAATAAAATTAATTTAAATACAATTAAGTGTAGCATGGTGGTGCAGTTGGTAGAGATGTTGCCTATCAGAAGGTTGTTGGATCAAACCCACGCCAGGAATATTTCTGGGTGGAGTTTGCATGTTCTCTCCATTTCAATTCAGTTTATTTATATAGCGCCAAATCACAACAAAGTTGTCTCAGGGCACTTTACAGAAACATTCACATAAAAGCCACTTGTAAAGTTCTCTATCTAAGGAATCCAGCAGACAAGTTGAATCTTGGCTTCGTCACAGTCTCCCATCCTGAGCAAGCACAGTGGCAACAGTGGAAAGAAAAACTCCCTTTTTAAAGGATGAAACCTCCAGCAGAACCAGGCTCAGGACAAGCGGCCATCTGCTTTGACCGGCTGGTTTGAGAGGACAGGAATGAGAGACAGACAAACATAGAATGGTAGGACCAGATATAGGTCCAGATGTACCTGAAAGACAAAATAAATTTAAAAAAAAAAATGTTAAAGATAGAAAAAAGAATTACAAATACAAAACAGGTTGAGCAAAGTAACTAAAGGCAGTAGTAGAGTGAAAAGTGTGGTCAGTTTGTCCTCCAGCAGTCTAAGCCTATAGCAGCATAACTGTGACAGCTCAGGAAACCCAAGCCGACCGTAACTATAGGATTTAGCAAAAAGGAAAGTCTTGAGCCCAGTTTCAAAACTGGATAATGTGTCAGCCTCACGGACAGAGACTGGAAGTTGGTTCCACAAGAGAGGAGCCTGATAACTGAAGGATCTGCCTCCCATTCTGTTTTTGGAAATTCTAGGAACCACGAGTAAACCTGCAGCCTGAGAGCGAAGTGCTCTGTTAGGAAAATATGGAACAATAAGATCTGTAATATAAGATGGAGCTAGGTTGTTGAGAACTTTGTAGGTTAGAAGTAAGATTTTGAATTCAATTCTGGATTTGACAGGGAGCCAATGGAGAGAAACTAAAACTGGAGAGATATGATCTTTCCTACTAACTCCAGTTAAGACTCTGGCAGCAGCATTTTGTATCAACTGAAGACGTTTTAAAGACGTATTTGGACACCCAGATAATAAACCATTGCAATAGTCCAGTCTAGACGTGACAAATGCATGGACCAGTTTTTCTGCATCATTTTTAGATAAGATGTTTCTAATTTTAGTGATATTACGCAGGTGGAAGAAGGCAGTTCTAGTAACATTTTTAATCTGGGGGATAAAAGACATGTCCTGATCAAAAATAACACCAAGATTTTTAACATTAGAGCTGGAGGACAGATTAATGCCATCTAAGCAGGGAGAAAGACTGAAAAATTAATTCCTACGGTGCTCAGGTCCAAAAACCAAAACCTCGGTCTTGTCTGTGTTCAACAGGAGAAAATTAAGGGTCATCCAGTTTTTATGTCTTTAAGACATGCTTGTAGTTTAAGTAACTGATTGGATTCATTGGGTTTAATGGACAAATATAATTGTGTGTCATCAGCATAACAATGAAAATTTATCTCATGCTGTTTAATAACATTACCTAATGGAAGCATATATAAGGTAAAGAGTATTGGTCCAAGCAATGAGCTCTGAGGAACTTCATGACTAAATTTGGTGTATGAAGAAGATTTATTATTTACATTTACAAACTGGAATCTATCAGATAGATATGATTTAAACCATTTAGAGCTGTTCCTGTAATCCCAATATCATATTCAAGCCTCTGTAGTAAAATATTGTGATCAATTGTATCAAATGCAGCACTGAGGTCTAACAGGACCAGTATAGACACAAGTCCATTGTCTGAGGCCATGAGAATATCATTAGTTACTTTTACTAGTGCTGTTTCTGTGCTATGATGAGCTCTAAACCCTGACCGAAACTCTTCAAACAGATTATTTCTTTGTAGATGTTCACGCAACTGACCTGCAACTATTTTCTCTAGAACTTTTGAGATGAAAGTTAGATTAGATATAGATCTGTAGTTGGCCAGAATTTCTGAA